ACTCGTAAGTCAAGGCCCCACTGTATATAAAAGCCTAAGTGACCGGCTGACTGGCCAGTAGCTATGACGCACAATGACCACCAGGGGGCAGACGCTCAACACACAGGCATGGAAACATGGAACAGCCTGATGAATCTCAGAGGGAAGAGGGGAAGGGGAAGGGCTTGAAGAGATTAACCAAAGATCTTATATGCATACTACAGGCCTGTAGGGATCGGGCCAAAACCGGCAGTCCAACATCCCCGAGGGGTCCCAGATTGCGAGAGAGCACAGGCCAGGCCGAGGGACCCCACTGGTGTACAAACTCGTGCACCGGGCCTCTAGTATTGTAATAAGTGTATGGTGCCAAGTGGGTACTGGAAATATCAGAACATTTTGTCAAGTATATGATTATCTAACAACTATGCTGTACATCTGAAACTAATACAAAATAATGTTGAATGTAAACTGTAATTAAAGAACATTTTATTGAAAAAATAAAATACCGAAAGCACACACACACATACATGCAATTCTCACACACATACACACGGGAAAAAAACAGACTGTGGAGAAAGATTAAACGCTATCCAAGAAATGCTGCTAACTGTTAAAATCTGGTGATAAGTTCAGTACGAACTGTACTATTCTTTTTACTTTTATATTTTTAAGTTTTCATAACAAAGTTTTATAAAACAACTGTCCCACCTTTTCCTAATTTATTTTTATGTTATCAGAAAAATAATTATTCTGTGTAGTTTTTTTATAAACATTTTTAACAGCTTTACATCTACAGGAAAACTGAAGTGATAGCACAGAGGGTTTCCACACAGGTTCCCCATTATCAACAGCTTACATCATTATAGTGCACTTGTTATCATTAATGAACCAATATTTTGATACATTAACTAAAGACCGTACTTTATTCAGATTTCCATAGTTTTTAGTAAACATACAAAAAACATCCACACCTTTGGGATGACAAAATAAAGGATGAGTACAAACCTTTCTCTCTAAAAAGTGACTAATTTTCAAGAACAACTTGATAAACCACTTCTCGGAGCCTACGGGGTCTGTCCTCATAAAGAAGAAGGTGTGGATGCTTGTTTTTAATGTGATCAAGGGCCAAATGAAAAGTATTGGGGGCTAATAAATTGATTTCCACATCCACAGAGAGAGACTGCAGCCTACGAAGGACCTGCAGCAGGACAGGGGCCTCCGGGCAGACGTCCCCTCCAGCTCAGGTCAGACAAGAAGGCAGCTACCGCCGGCTGCAGCCAGTGCGGGAGACCACAGCCCAGGGAGCTGCCCGTCTCAGCAGCCGGCAGGGGCACTGGCTGGTGGGACCACTGAGAGGAGACACAGAGCCAAGAGCAACCTCACTTCCTGTGATTCCACCCCACGGAGCATCTGCAATACCTCGGGGAGACGTCGGAGAAAACCATGAACTGAGTTTAAATCCCCAATGACTGGGGTGGGGGGCAGGGAATGTAACTGAAATTAACTGACTATATTATACTTTCTAGCTGCCTCCCGCACGCCCCCTACTGGGGATGTGCCTGCAACCCAGGTACATGCCCTTGACCGGAATCGAACCCGGGACCCCTCAGTCCGCAGGCCGACGCTCTATCTACTGAGCCAAAACGGTCAGGGCAACTTTATTTTTTTTAATATATTTTTAAATTGATTTCAGAGAGGAAGGGATAGGGAGAAAGAGAGCGAAACATCAGTGATGAGAGAGAATCACTGATCAGCTGCCTCCTGCACACCCCGGACTGGGGATCGAGCCTGCAACCTGGGCATGTGCCCTGACCGAGAATCGATCCACAACCTCCTGGTTCATAGGTTGATGCTCAACCACTGAGCCACACTGGCCGGGCCAGGGACCCAGCGCAGAGTCCGCATCGTTCAGCAGAAAGAAAGTGGTCTGTGGAGGTTTACTGTGGTAAGTCTGACTAGGGATTGACAGGCAAGACCCCACGGAAACACGTCCCCGTCACCAATCCTAAGGAAGGCTGGCCTGTTTCCGCGGCTCACAGCACGTGCAGGAAACCCGCCTACCTTCTGCATGACCTTCCTGGCCCACCTCAGCTGCAGGATGTACCACTGCGCGGCCGGGAAGGAGCAGCGGGCCGCCCGGAGGAGCAGGAGCAGGCGCTGCAGGATCCCGGACACCTTCTGGCGGTTCTCCTTCTCAGCTCGTAACAGAAGATCGTCACCGTCCTCCTGAGGAAACGCAACAGTCACATCCTGTAGCCAGCAATAGGAAAGCTTTCAATGTTAACGTGCAAGTAGCCAGTGCTTCAGGACCTAGAACGCTCCTGGAGGTTTATAAAGAAAACGCTGAGTCCTGGCCTGAGGTTTCACGCAGAGCGATGGCTAGCGTCCGGGGAACACTGCTCTCCCCTCCAACAATGGAAAGGGCTAAATCAGTGGTTCTCAACCTTCTGGCCCTTTAAATACAGTTCCTCCTGTTGTGACCCAACCATAAAATTATATTTGTTGCTACTTCATAACTGTAATGTTGCTATTGTTATGAATCGTCATGTAAACATCTGATATGCAGGATGGTCTTAGGCGACCCCTGTGAAAGGGTCGTTCGACCGCCAAAGGGGTCGCGACCCACAGGTTGAGAACCGCTGGGCTGAATGGACCCTAATCCCAGGTCATCCCCGACAACAGGCGAAGGCCACCACTCCGACCCCATGGCAGAACCGTGCCGAGAGCTCCTCTCCCCGAGAAGGCCAGGCCTCTGCCGGAGCAGTCCTTCTCCTATCTCGTGTCACCTCCTCTGGGAGCCCGCCCACTGAGCTGCTGTGGCGCTCTGCTCAGACCTCCGCTGTATCTTTACTAATTTATTCTGTACTGATTTATCATGTTTCCCACTGGACTGAGAACTAGGCAAGAGCAAAGGCCTTGCCACATGCCTTGGTTCACACAATAAAGTCCAACATGTAGTAGGAGGAGCCAACCAATGTTTGTTGAAAAACACTTTTCCAGTCCGTAGCTAGTGATTAATTCCCCAGAAAATGAGATAATGTGTTGCAAACATCTGCTTCCCCAATACCCTAACCACTGCTGCTTATTTAACTGCACTCAGTTTTAACTGGGCATCTCCCCCGGCCCTGCATTTGTTGATGCTTACTATGTCCTAGGGCCTATGGTTAAAAAAAAAAAAAAAAAATTTACATTTAAAAAAATATATATTTTTATTGATTTTTAGAGAGAGTCAGGGAGAAGGAGAGATAGAAACATTGATAAGGGAGAAACATCGATCAACTGCCTCCCTCACGCCCCTTGCTAAGGATCGAGCCCACAACTCCAGGCATGTGCCCTGACTGGGAATCGAACCCGTGACCTCTTGTTGCAGGGGCCAAGCTCAACCACTGAGCCACACCAGCCAGGCAAAAGCTCTGACATTTAACCCCCACAATAATGCCACTGGAAGTCTTATCATCGCCGGCATTTTACACATGAGGAGCTCTAAGCAGCTACGTACACTGCATAAAATGACACAATTAATAAACAGCAAAGCTGGGATCCAGAAGTCTGCCTTCAGACTCGCATTTTTATTCTCAAGTTAATTGTTTTTAAAATTGGACAGAATCAACTTTAAGTTAAAAGGTCCGCTTACTTCGCTGAGAAGCGCTGGCTGAGGACAGTAGAGCGGAGGAGCGGGGAGGTACAGGCCGCCGGGCACCAGGCCCCAGAGCCTCCGGCTGAAGTCCTTGGCGGAGCCGATCAGAAGCCGCCACGTCTCCGAGAGCACGTCCGCCTCGGCCATGGCCGCGGCCTTCAGCACTCCCCGCACGGAGCCCAGCAGCAGGTGCGCGTCCTCCTCTTCAATGGGATCTGCACACGCGTCAGGTAACACAATTAGAGTCTGTATTACACTGCGCATCCTGCTTTGCAGGGTAACAGCTCACATCGGAAAAGAGCTGGTCATCGAAAACAAGCATATTGGTTGACATGCAAAACATCCAACCTTCCAGACAGAAATTTAATGACTATTCTGTTACTTTGAGGTTATAGGCAATCATAGCACAGGTACTTTTTCCAAAATTAGACATTGCAGTAGTAACTATGTATAATAAAAATAGTTTTGAAGTATAGTTCTGAGTCGAAAAAATATTAGAATAAAAAATATCAAGAAAGACAGCCAAATAAAATACAACATTATGTGAAGGCAATGGGAGAGTAATAGTGATTTTTAAAATTTTTTCTTCGTAATCCATCATGGTACTACTATAATAGTTGATAAAAATGACTTCAACGCTGCTCAGCATGCTTTAAGGCTTAGCATATAGTGTGAAAGCAGCGCCTGTGCCGGGCTGGTGTGGCCCAGTGGCTGAGTGTCATCCCAGCACCAAGAGGTTCCAGGTTCAATTCCTGGTCAGGGCACACGCTCCGATCTGCAGGGGGAGCCAATGAGTGCTTCTCTCCCTCTCCCTCTCTCCCTCTCCTTTCTTCTCTCAAAAATCAATGAAAACATATTTCTAAAAAGTTTATTAAAAAAAAATAACGCCACTTGCCTGGCCATTGTGGCTCAGTGGTTGAGCGTCAACCTATGAACCAGGAGGTCACGGTTCAATTCCTGGTCAGGGCACATGCCCAGGTTGTGGGCTTGATCCCCAGTGTGGGGCCTGCAGGAGGCAGCCAATCAATGATTCTCTCTTATCATTGATGTTTCTATCTCTCTCTCCCTCTTCTTCCTTTCTGAAATCAATAAAAATATATATATTTTAAAATAAATAGTACACTTCTATTTTCAATAAGCTTACTTCAAAGCGTTAATACAGTGGGGCCTTGACTTACGAGTGTCCCGACTAACGAGTTTTTCCGAGACACGAGCCATCTCTCTTTGCTTTGAGTTGCGAGCTAAAATTCGGGTTACGAGCCAGCTTCAGATACTCCACCGCTAGTTGGCGCAGCGAACGTCACAGTGAACGCCACAACATCAGCCCAGCATCACGTCTCACTCGTTCACTTTTTGATTTGACATACGAGTAATTTGAGTTACAAGCTCCATCACAGAACGAATTAAACTCGTAAGTCAAGGCCCCACTGTATACTTGTGGGTATTTACCAGCTTCTTAAAATACCACAAGGCTCATTAATTAACCAGCTCTATCTGTCAGGCCTGTGTAGGTAACGCACCTGTAAACTGTTTGTATTTTGAGCCCATTTCTCTTTTTGCTCCCGAAGAGGCCGGCTGACCTAACAGACACTGGAGTTTCTCCTGGAAAATCCGTGCTGGAGTCATGTTGAACGGCAGATTCTGGCCCTTTTTCTTGAGCCTGAAATCACATCGAATTAGGAGAAATGACTCCAAATTTTCAAAAAAGCAAATATTCACACATCGGGAACTACACGTGAAGTTTGAGAAACAGTGAAACTTCCTTTCGTTATTCATCCTACATTTAAGAAAGAACTACGATCAGGAAACGCTGCGTTAAGGAGAGGACCAAGGCTCTCCACGGTGATGGCGCTAACACATCTCACCCGACTGCCCTCCGCTGCCTGCAGACGTGCTCTATCCACTGGACCAGACCTGTCTTGGCCAAATGACTCTGCTTGTGTTTGGAAAGTTCTCTCTCCCTGTAGCTACTCCATTGTCAAGATCCCGTCTTCCCTTCCATGCCCATCTCCAATGGCATCTCCCACACAGGCATTTCCGTCCTTCCCCTCCCCCCCCAACCCCCCCCGGGGTCACTGCTCTCCCCGAGCCCCGCGGCCTGTTCTCACCAAGGCATGTAAACTAGAGTGAGGTGCCGTTTCCTACCAAACTATAAAGCCTTAAGCGTAGAAACTAGGCACCATTTAGGTTTATATCCACGAATACACCTGGTATAGAGTATGTACAGAGAGGTTACTTAATAAGAAAATACATGCTTAGTTACAGACTTGAAAAATATAAAAGACACAGTAGTACCATAACTTACAGAGAAGTTAAAATACAGAGATTGGTTTGACTAGCTTAAACTCAAATCCGGGACAAACTCTCTCATCGACTGTAAGCTCTTTGAGGGCACTGCTAACAAATTAATACTCCAAATAGGCATTTTAATACAAATAAGCCAGCCACTGAGCTGCCCAGCACAGCACCCACTAGCTGCATGCAGTGATTTAAATTTAAATGAGGTTGGAAATTCGGTTCCTCAGTCTTACTGGCCACAGCGCACGTGCTCAGTGGCTGGACACACAGACATCCCCTCACGGAGGCAAGTCCTCCGGGACCAGGCTGAGCGGAGACGCCCGCAGAAGGGGTCAGAGGGATGAAAGGCACTTTAGCCAACACTCTTCCTCCCTCTCTCGGGTCTGCGTGAACGTGCGCACCTGGTGGGGCCGCAGCCCCGGCGGCTCAGCTGGGAGGCCACGCCGATGGACACAGCCGTCTTCCAGTCCCCGAGCTCCTGTGCCAGCCACACGGCTTCCGGGACCAGGCCGCCGATCAGCAGCAACTCCAGGGCGTAGTCCACGGTCCACACGTGGGAGAGGCTCTGCTCTCTGACGGCACTGGCCACGGCGGCGTGCTGCAGGGGGACGCACCGCGGGGCCGGCTCTGTGCGAGGAGAGAACACGCCATCACAACACGCGCAGCCACTCCCGCTCCTCACCTGGGTACGGCAACTCTTCATGGCAGCTCCTACACACACCCAGCAAGGAAGAAGCATACAACACGGGCTAACATACTACGTCACACTAGGAGAGCTACACACTGCAGAATGCGCCTCGTTCGTGGGTCGGGAAGCGGGTGCCAGCGTCTTAAGAAGGAACCAGAACGGGCAGCCACAGAAGCCGCAGAGGCAGAGCGGAGCGCATCGCAGGGTCAAGGTGGACACAGGTCAGGAAAGCGTCTGTGTCGCGTCCGACAAGCAGAGGGGCGCTCGTACATGTCAGTGCAGGATCACAGTGCACATCGATTCCTGTGTCTCTCTCTTACTAGACCATGAGCTCCGGAGGGCGCACATGGAAGTTTACCTGACCTCGTATTCCTCATGTCATGCAAAAAAAAAAAAACAGCAAAAAACCACAGCTTATTTGAGGTAACACTGGAGCACATTCAGTGTTCAATACATCAGTGTTTTTTAAGGAAGTGGGAAAGCGTCGTTTTCAATTTGTAAATTACAAACCTGGCCTGGGATTGAATACAAAGGGTGACGCCTGCCTCCCCAGCTGTCTGTACCTTCCCTCACTGAGGCAAACGGATCAACAACGTGAAATACGATGACAGGACTATTGTTTTTGTAAAAATACCTATTGCTAAGATTTTCACTTACTCCCTCAAAATAAAACTGGCAAATGTGAGCAGCCGATCGATGTGTCACTCTCACATCACTGTTCCTCTCTCTCCCTTCTCCCTTCCTCTCTCTCTGAAAGCAATAAAAAAATATTTTTTTAAGTTAACTATCCGAGTAAAATTACGTTCTAAATCAGCATACACAAAATCTGTTTAATTTTTATAGAAATGAAGATGGCAGCACTTTGACTTTAAAAATGAAAACTTTATAAATACCAGCTTATCCAAGATTTGTGATTTAAAAAAATCCATATTAAAAAAAAAAAAAAAAACCCGAGCAACCACCTTTCTCAGACTTTATTCGTTCACACACGGTCACCGAGTGTCTCCGGTGCGCCAGGCACTAAGCTGACGGCATCACTTCCAGAGAGTGACGGTCACTGCGTAATATTGTTTTAAATATTAGGAGCCACAACGAGGTGAGAACACTGTTTACCTGTTTTAATGTGAAGGGGAGGCAGGACGTTCACGTGGTGAGGGGGCAGAATGCAGAGCCGCTGGTTGGTGAAATAGGCGGCCATGAACCGGGCCATGGACTGGACGACCCTCACTGCGGCCTCGGGGTGGGCAGGCCCGGGCGGTCCCCACGCGGGAGCTAAGGGACACAGCAAACGAGCAGAGGAGATTCTGGTCAGACCATCACGAAGTGGTAACATCTAAGTTCCCAGCATTATCCAGGAGGGAACTCATAATTAGTTCTGTTTAGATGAGCACCCAGGGCCGGTACAAGTAAATTTATGATAGGCACCTAGACTTCCTTTTTTATGATAGGCATCTAGAGCCCATACCCTTAGGAACTTGTGTGACTTTAATAGTTTTATTTAAAAACGTGGAGGATCCAAGCAAAGCAATCTAGCCACAATGCACTTGCCAGTCCAGAATTAACCCTAACCAGGCAGAACCACCACCGTTTATCATAAGCAATTTCCTATCTAAACCTGTAAGTGCAGGTTGACATGAAGAAAGATACCGATCTCTGGAAAACGTACCCGAACCATCTTCATTTTCCCTCACAGGTAGGTGGGACCATCTCAGCAGTTCTCTCACTAGCTGATCGCACAATCCTTGGGCATCGTTTAGATTATAGCTATACAGGTGGCAGTACAAAAGGGACAGGTAATAGCGCATCTGAAGAAAGCGGGTCCTTCTTCCTCCTTAAAGCAGAGAGAATTAAGCTTCCGTTAAAAACGTTAGCAAGGCCAGGTTCTTGGCCTGGGTGCTGGGCAGACACACTGGGGGTGTTCCGTTTATGAAACCCATGAAGCTGTATACTCTCGTTATGTGAACCTTTCTGTATTTGTTTTATCCTACATGATAAAAGGCTAATATGCAAATCAACTGAATGGTGGAACAACTGGTTGCTATGACACTCACTGATCACCAGGGGGCAGACGCTCGATGCAGGAGCTGCCCCCTGGTGGTCAGTGCGCTCTCACAGGGGGAGCGCTGCTCAGCCAGAAGCCGGGCTCAAGGCTGGGAGCCCAGCGGCGGTGGCGGGAGCCTCCCCCGCCTCCACAGCATTCGGACATCCCCTGAGGGCTCTCAGACTGCAAGAGGGCGCAGGCTGGGCTGAGGGACCCCCGCCTCCCCAAGTGCATGAATTTCATGCACCGGGCCTCTAGTACTTCAATAAAAGATGCTTTAAATTCTTTAAGAAAACAGGTGAGCAATGCATTGTTCTTTTTCACTTTAGGTTCTGAAGAGTTGTATTTTCTTTCATCAGGCCCAGGATGACTAAGATTTTATCCAAAGAGAGCTGTAATCCTCGTTCCCTCAGCACTAAGGTTCACTAAAATCTGTCTCAAGCACACATGGTCTGAAACGAAGGGAAGGGTGTGAGCCCCTCCCCCCCGCCGCCATGAAGCCAAACACACAAATAGATGGTCAAAGAGCCTCCCCAAAGAAGAAGCCGGTAGGATGGGAGTCCCTGCCCACATCTGAGGGTGCTTAGGACTGAGAATACTGGCTGCCTGTCCCTTGTCCGTTCTGTCTGTCTGCAAGACAAAATCTTACTCCCATGGCCACTGCACATGCTACGTTCCTTTCCCATCTGTTCTCCACCTACCTCTCACCACCCTACCCCCAATTTACACACACACCTCATATGATCTGGTCCTGCTACAACACCTGCAGTTCACCAACGGCCACAGTTCCGCGTGTCCTATTGCTTTTGGAATGCGGTATCCTCTGTTAAACCATTCCCTGTCCTTTAACTGGCCAACTTCTACTCCATTTTAAATGACAGCCCCCCCAGGGGCTCCCCAGGCTGGGGTGTACCCCAGCCCGAACTGTGGGGCGCGCTCTCCTGTGCTTCCCGGCACCCACCACACGAGGTGAGAAGAGCTCTAGCTGCTCACATCCTCTCTCCTGCAGACGGTGGGAAACTGGAAGGGAAGGCTGTTTACTTCAGTGATTCCCGAGGCCTAACTCAGTGCCAGGCACACAGCAGGTTAGGTAGACGACTGAAGGAAACGTAAAAGCCACAGGAGGCAGGAAATGTATTTAACTGGCCAAGCTGACCACAGAGCAGCTGAGTCAGGGCTGGTTCCAAGGTCGCCTGGTAGGAACCTCTGTCTTCTCAGCCACACCCTCAGCCCTAGAGCACATGAACTACCACCAGCTTCCAGGATCCACCCCTGTACATTCTCATCAGAAACTCCATGGAGCCCACACTTAGCCCAGCAGTAAGCCTAACTCACAGGAACTTGTTAAGGGCAGACAGCATGAGCCCCACTCCGTAAGAGGTGATATGGTATTTGACCCAGTTTCTCATTTAGATACTTCCAGTCCTCTAAATGACAAAATGACACATGATTTTATTTAGGACCTAAACCTCATTTTCCCCATCAACAGGCAATCATGGGTTCCATCACTAACCCCAAAAAGGACGGAAGAAGCCTTATCTGTAGACAACAAAAAATTCTTGGTTCTACAAATTCCAAGACTAAGACTAACTTTAAATAAAACTAATTTTAAGTAAGTATTTCTGACAGTCCAGGTTCCTACAATACGTGTTACTCTATTTGAGCATGAAGAAGTTCTGAGCACTCGCACTTGAAATTATTTTTTCGCTCTGGAGTATGCTAACATTCGTTCCTACCGATCTCCTGGCGAATATTATTTTTAATAACCCCCTACCGTTCTCTTGGGTTTCTTGCAGAGCTTTCCTCCACAGCTCAACAGCCTTTTCATAGGATCCTAACAGGAAGCATTCTTCACCTGCAAAGTTTTTAACCAACGATTAGTTATGGTTAATTATATCATTTCATAAAAATGTACTTTGTTTTAAAACCCGGTGTTTTAGCTCATCCAGAAATTTTCAAAAACAAATAATTGTGACCAGTTAACACAGTCAAAGCCCCGTTAGCTGTTTTGCTTACTTATGGGGTGAGGAACGGGGTATGAGACACTGACCGCTGATAGGTTTGAGCTCTAAGGTTTGGCCCAGGCGGGCTCCGGCCGCCTGTAGGTTCGCCTGGATGTGACATAACAGGGACCGGACAGCAGCTGCTTCCTGGGCCACCTTTGCAGGTAACGGCCTGTCACCTTCAGGAACTCTTCGACTTAACTGGCTCTCATACCATAAAGTCTTTTGATACAGGACTCTCCACAGAAACACCAATCTGCACACAAAATTAGGCGACCATCAAACCAAATTTCAGATGAGGGGTAAGAATCAGTATAGCCTCCTGACTGGCCTGCATTCTTCACTGATATAATAACACACACACACACACGAACTGACCGAATTTAAATACAGCACAAAGGCCACTGAGCAAAACCATGCATAATATAGTTTTTAAATCTTCACAAACGCTTTATGTACCTGTGGTCACTTTTCTCTGGTGCTTACCTAAACCAACATCTCTCAACAGTACCTGGTTGCCCAAGACTAATAAAATGTGTGTGTGGAAAAATAGCATCTGGCGTAAGTGCTAAAATACTTTCCGATAAAATCAAATCTATAAGGCTGAGTGCTGACGGAGACAAGGTTTCTTTTAGGGGTGATAAAAATATTCTGGAGTTAGTGTTAATAGTTCTAGGACCTTGTGACTATTCTAAAAACAAATCACTAAACTTTAAAACGGTGAGATTTATAGTATGGGAACCACAGCTCCATGTTTTAAAAAGGAAAACAATCTATACTGCGGATGGTATCCTAACTTTACAGGAATCATACCTGCGTCCTGGCTGCTGAACGAGGTTTACTACCGGAGGACGCATCTTGAAAGACGCGTTCCAAGGCCAGTCGTCCCGGGAAGCACTATCTTGAAATGTTTGAAAAACGGGAACCACCAGGGAGTCCTGACTGGCTGTTCTCCTCCCATCAGCTGTCGCCGAGACTTCCGGCTGGAGACGGTCTCTGCCGTTTAAGTGGTCAGCCACCACCCTGAGTAAGTGAAAACAGGCGGCCAGCCTCTGGGAGAAGGCCGGGCCCCGCGGCTGCCGGGCCAGCA